AGCAGTCGTCTACCCTGAAAGAAAAATAGAAGAAAGGTAATGAGCTATCTTGAACCTTCCTCATCCTGGAAGAGTGTGGCGACCATGAAAACAGCCCAGCAGTGTAGGTCTCAAGAGCAGGGAGGGGAAAAGACGCTGGAGCGTAACCTGACTTCTGATGCCTTGGACGAGGAAGCGTTGTACTGCACAGACTGAGCCTCACCCACGGACTGACCTCTGTTTTTTCAGTCTGAAAGGACTAGAGCGGTTTGCTGGCTTTGCAGGGCTGCGTACCTTTTCCCAGGATGGTTCACCTGGCAGACATTATGAAGATGAGAAGAGGGGAGGATGGGTAGATTTAAACAAACCACCCCAGACGAATGAAAGCAAGGCGCTCACTTGCAGTCTGACTTGTGAAAAAGTTTCCTGATGAAAAGTAACCCCTTTTTTTTGTGTCCTGATTATAAGCTTTAAAAACAAAGCAAAGCCGTCTCGTGGCTGAAGTGCTCCTTTCTCCTGTTGAAAGCCGAAATTAGAAGTGCCAATAAATCAAGCTACTTGTCTCACCTACTGAGCGTGCTTTGGCTATTGCAGTCATTATACAAGAAATAAACCTGAGTAAACAGCTGAACTGGCCTCTCAGACACCATCTCTCAGGTTGGCGACTTTCACATTCATAACATGCTTGAGACAACACCTTGGGGATTGGGGTCTAATGGGAACTTTGAGAGAGCCTGCTGTACCCATGTGTAAAATCCTCACCATGAATCTAGTCCTAGAGCAAGTGTTAACCCGTTCTGGGTCCTTTCCCTTGGGTACGTATAATTTTGTAAGTCTGGACTCTAGGCTTACCCTATAGACATCACAGTCTCCGGACACTGCAATAACTGGAGGTTGTCTGTATCTGCTATCTTGGTGTATTCTGACTTTATTCCCAGTGATATTATGCATGGGGAAACTGAAGATACGTGAGCATGGAGCAGTTAAATGTTTGAACTTAGCAGTCCCTGCACCAGGCACAGCACAGAAGGTACAGAATTCATCTCTTGAAGCCCCAGATTTCTTTATTACTGCTGGGTTTTAATGTTCTCTGTGGTCATATAATAGCCTAAATGTTCAAAAGTGACTAGAAATGTTTGCTACTTCATTGTTTTGGTACTCAGCTTGAAAATTCCTCATACGTGCTGGTTTTCGAAAAAGCACTCGGGTCTGTCTTCAGCATTGGATCACAGGACAACGTTTCAGTGTGAGCACCATAACAGTAATCCACCCTAAATCATCAGGAACTTCTGCACTTTGAAGATATAGTTCATCTGTTCTTCAGCCTAGTTACTTATAAAAGAAGATGCTGTTCAAATTGAGGCAGGTCTCTACTGTCATTCTCACATGCTGCTCCAAGCCTCAGAGGTGCAACTTGGCAGGCTGGAAGATGGGGATGCTAAGGGCTGTCACAATAAGCAGTCGTTGCATAAGCTGCCCTGTGAAAACAAAACAGATACACAGGTCAATTTGTCATTAGAAAAGGGGGCAGATATGTAAAATCACAGAATCACAGTCAGAAAAGCACAGAGCAAAAAGGGCAAGTGCTCCTGGGGAGTGGGTTCAAATGGGATGGATCAGTCTCCAGCCACTTCTTCAGGCTGTGAGCTCAAGTCTCTGGGCTTGTTCCCAAAGGAGGTCCCCAGCAAATGGACAGTTAGGGTAGGTGCATCTCACAAACCTTTACATATTTGGTGCTTTTTTTTTTTCCCTGGAGGTTTGAGCTACCACCTTCAGCTCAAGGAGGTCCTAGTCTAACTGAGAAAGCTTAAATCGTGACCACTGAAGAGGACTGCACTTCGCCCGTGCAAGGGAAACAGACAGATGTCTTTCATTAATTTCAATGCCAGCTTAGTTGAAATGGATGCAAGAACTAGAGAACAGCTTGCAGTATTCTTTGAGAGGTTTCCCTTTTGTATCTGAAGCTTACAATGAAGCTTACCAACTAAAAATGTTGTGGCTTTCACATTTAGACAGAAGTTTCCAGGTGCCAAGCCTTTAATTCCACTGGCTGCTAGGCAATAGACCTTATTAAACCTCCCCAGTCCAGGTGCAAGTAGAGAGCAAATACACATTGGAATAGATCCTGTTGCGTTCCCTTTAGGCAACATCATGACAGCAATAAATAATGGTCTTATGCTAATGAATCATTTCTTCCAGAATAAAGATTTGCTCATTGTTCATTCTGTATCAAGTGTGAGTCATGGTGACTAAGCCATATATGCATGTCTCTGTGCCTGAGGGATGCCTGAAATAACGTGCTCTGTAAGAGCAGAGGAGCTGCTGGAGTCACGGCCAGTCTCATCATCTCCCCACCCTGGGGCACACTGAGCCTTGCGGGACTTGACGTTGCTCCAGTTCAGAGTGACTTCATTACCTGGACATGTGAAGTGTGGAAAGCGGTGCGGGCTGGGGAGGTGGGTTGTTTAAAGTGCTTAGGCATTCACCTAACTCTGGAGGGGCATCCACGAGGCACTGAGTCAGGTCTGGGCACCTAATGTTTTGCAGGGTTCAGCCCTGTCAAAACAGAGTTCTCATGTTCAAATGCACCTGCAAATTCTCAGCTGTGTCCCATGAGGTTCATTACAAACATGCAAATCCCTGCACGTGGGACAGAACAGCCCCTGCACTGGTCCCATCTGGGACTGCCTGGCTGGAGAGCAGCTCTTCAGAAAGGGCCTGGGACAGCAGGTTGGACGTAAGCCCTTGGTGTGCCCTTGCAGCAACGAAGATCGACTGTGGACTGATCTACATTTGTGAGAGCGCAACCACCAGGTCAAGGGGAGAGATTTTTCCCTTTAATGAGCAATTGTGTGGCTGCAGCCGGGGTACTCTGTCCAGTTGTGGATCCTTCCATACAAGCAAAAGTAATGAAGTACTGGAGCAAGTCCAGGTGACACCACTGGAACAGTAAGGTGGCTGGAGCTCACCTCAAGGAGACACTGAAGCAACTGTTTTTTTTTTAACCAGAAGAGGAGAAGGCAAAAGAGGTTTCTAATTAAAATCTTCCAACACTTGAAAGACTTTACAGATAAAATGGCGTCAGACTCATCAGAGATGAAAAGACCAAGAGATGGGTACAAAAGTTGCAACAGGGGAAAGTTCAGCTGGACAATAAAGGAAAAATCCTTCCTCATGGTGGGTGGGATCTCAGCCCTTGGGAATTTTAAAAACTCCATGGGACAAGGGCCGGAGAAACCTGATCGAAGTAGACATTAAGGCTCTGAGCCAGTTGACTGAACTGTATAGATTCATTTTGCACTGGCACATTTAACCTACTGAGGGAGAATAGATAAAGGCAGACAGTTCTCCAAGAAAATGTCTATGGAGTCAACCCCTCATCCAGACCCTGACAGATGTGCCCCCACATAATGTCACAATCAAGGAGTCTGTCTGCTTCAGGGGACCCACGGTGACACCATCCCAATTCCCAGCTGTATTAATGACTATGCACAGCCTTCCAAAAGAAATTCTTTTATTAGGTTACAAGTCTAAGATAAATTTGTGCTGTTAACATACTTCAGGTATAGGATGCTGGATGCACCCAGTGCTTGTTCTTCAGACTGGAAGCATGTTTATTCTTAAGGAGATTGTAGGTTTCAACTATAAAAACTTGTTTTCCATTTTAGCTTTCTATCCTTGACAATTGAGATTGCAAACTGCTTCAGTACAATCTTTCTCATGTATCTGCCACTGCTGGGAGTTCTGAGAGGCACTTATTCTCTCAAGTGACTGATTTTCTTGCTTAAAGTATGCAAAGATATTAGATATATCATTAAAATAATTTAAAAGCAGGAACACACGTGTCTTATAGATTTTACTAGATAGGGCATTCTTTGGAGAATCAGATACCCGAAGTCTGACACACAATATTTCTTCCTGCTAAAGTGTGTATCAGACACGTGGAGGCAGGAGTGACGGATGGTGTGCTCCTTACATGGGGAGAGTGAGTGCACATTTGCATGGCTTTATAACATGGCCATTGTAGCTTCATGATTTGAGATTTATGGTGTACCGTTAAAGCAAGACATTTACCAACCACTCTATTCCAACGTGTTGGGTAGATGCCGACAAGGTGATACCAGGATGCCTGATCCATTCATCCAGGTATTCCCCATCAGCCAGGGAAAGCAGACTGCCTGCCCCAGTCCTCCTGAGCACAGGAACAGCTTTTATTCTCATGGCATGATTTTTGGGGTTTGTTTCTGCTCCAGATAGACGAGTCAAGTGCAAGGTGGCCCAGCTGTTACCCTGGACAGCCCCATACACATCACTTACATGCTTTATTACCTCTTTTAACATTTCTTGACCCTCCTTTTCACTGCCTTTAAACTTTCCTTTCTCCACTCCAATCTCCTCCCAGGTAAACAAGTTGCCTCGCACTACTTTTCTGCACTGGCCCCAGTTCTGCTACATCACTGTCCAAACTTGATATTTCTGGTAACAATACCTAAGTCACCCTGACCTTACGTGGTATTTCTGATGAGGTTACCTAGGTACTGCTTGTCTGGTAAGACTATACTCCCCAAGGTAGACTTGAGCATCCATTAAAAACAGGTGGGCAAATATTAATCCAAGACTGTTGCAATCGCCCACATTTAGGTAGGGTACAAAAGAGTTTAAGATTCATGCTTTATTTGGTTCCGGACAGCTTCATAACTGGTGACTGAATGCCTTCTTACTTGGTGAATGCAAACAATGTGACAAATCATATAGGTTTAATCACATGTTGAATTATTTCCTAGTCTGGGGGTTAATTCTTCATTACAGAACTCATTAGAAATACTTGAGCAAGATATGTTACAACATTGGTGGCCAAAAGAAAAAAAATCTTGCATATTTAAGTTTTTCTGGGGCATGAACTCCTTCAGTGGGCAGTAGAAATACAAGACACCACACAGAGTAGAGAAAATTCTGTGATAAATCACAGAATAAAGGAGCATGAACAATGATTTAAATTAATTTGAATATTAATTGCTTCTATCTTTACCCAGAAATATACATTCAATTAGTAACAATGGCGTACACAGCATAATGAGTTCATCTCAGTAGTTTACAGTGAGCAGTTAGCAAAGGCACTTGATGTGCTGTGGTGCCATGGGGAGAAACTTCCTTGGCATGAGGACCTTGGGACTGGCATGGCTGAGTTGAGACCTGCTGGTCAAACTCCAGGGCAAGAAGGAAATGCACAGGCAGTGGAAGCAGGGACAGGGATCCTGAGATGAGTACAGGGACGCTGCCTCATTGTGTAGGGATGGGGTCAGGAGGGCCAAGGTGTGGCTGGAGCTGAACTTGGCAAGGGATGCAAAGAATAACAACAAGGGCTTCTGTAGGTATGTCAGCCGGAAAAGGAAGGTCGAAGAAAATGTACATCTGCAATGAGCATGACTGGCAAACTGGTAACAGTAGATGAGAAGGCGGCTCAGGTACTCAATGGTTTCTTTGCCTCAGTCTTCACTGGCAGTGTCTCTTCCCACACTTCTCGAGGGGATGCCCTGCAAGACAGG